GCAATCCACTCGCCCCGGCCTCCCAAAGTGCTAGGATTACAGGCTGAGCCACCGAGCCCAGCAATAAAGTTGTTTTAAAAAATGCATTTGTAAAACGACTCTTTAGTAAACAGAGTCTCTAACACCAAGCCAACCCATATTGAGAAACTTAAATCCTGTGATGTTAATGAAAAATTCCTTTTCCTCAAAAATCAAGTGAAGAATTTCATATCCTGATTTATTTTTAAAAACCAACAACTAATAAATAATATGTTAAGAAAAGCAAAGCAGTCTCCATTTTTAAAGATTATATCTCAGATTTATGATAATACATATTATAGTTACAATTAGTTTAATAGGAGAAAAATGAATATAACAAATACTGGTGTTTCATATTCACAAGAATCAGACACAAGCCAAGGTAGCAAACAAAACTTAAATTTCTAACCTAATCTCAAGCATTTAAACAATGATTTTTTTTAAACTGCTCTCCAATTAACTTGTATTCTAATTGGGTAAGGATCTAATTAGGTAGAGCCCTAGGAATTATGAAAGAATTTCAACAATCAATAAGGATAAGAAATTCTTTCACAGTGAATAAGAGAAACCTTTCCCATAACAACATCAAAGGAAAAAGACAACCTAAAATAATGAACCTTTGTTCCTCCAGAGTTGATTATCCAGGCATAAAGGATTGACAAAAGATTGACCTCTGTCAGGGAGCTAGTTAGGAAATGCCCAGATAAAGAAAATGCTATGTTAATGAATCCGGTAAGTGAGAGAGCAATTACCCCTCATGCATGCTTTTGAAACACCAAGTAACTCACATCTATATATAAAAAAATTTGCACCTTACCTACACATATCAGATAAGCCTCTCACTTTTTAGTTGTTTCAGTTCTAATAAGAAGAAACAGGATTTTCCAAACCACTGGACAGAAAAAAAATTGTCAGAAATGTTCCTGCTAAAACCTATTAAGATTCCTGGCTATATTGTTGAATCCAGTGGATGGGTTAGTGAGGAAGGTTTATGACGAGAATCTTGCCGACTCCAATCACATTCCATATCAAAAATGGAAGGAAGGTCGGGTGCAGTGGCTCACGGCTGTAATCACAGCATTTTTGGAGGCTGAGGAGAGAGGACTGCCTGAGCCCAGAAGTTCAAGACCAGCCTAGACAACAGAGCAAGACCTCTTCTCTACAAAAATAAAAATAAAAAAATTAGCTAGGTGTGGTAGTGTGTGCCTGTAGTCTCAGCTACTTGGGTGGCTGAAGCAGAAGGAGACCCTGATTCATTTATTTATTATTATTATTATTTTTTGAGTTGGAGTCTCACTCTGTCCTCCAGACTGGAGTGCAGTGGCCGCTCCCAGCCACCGCAGCCTCGACCTGCTGGGCTCCGGCCATCCTTCCGCCTCAGCCTTCCGAGTAGCTGGAACTACAGGCGCGCGCTACCACGCCTGGCTAATTTTTTATTTATTGTGGAGGTGAGGTCTCACCAAATTGCCCAGGCGGGTCTCGAACCCGCAGGCTCAGGCAATCTACTTGCCTCAGTCTCCCCAAAGCGCGGGATTACAGGCTGAGCCCACCGAGCCCAGCTGAGACCCTGATTCAAAAGAAGAGGGGGAGAACACGTACCTGAATGCTTGTCATTACTTAAAGAACTTGCTCAATGTTAAATTATCTTGCATGTCCTGCTCAGTCTCAGTCTATTCTGAAAAAGCTTTGCTTTTCAAAGCATAGAAACACATCATGTATGCAGGCAGAAAGAGCTGTTAAAGTGACAGCTCTCAGATGAAAAGAAGAGTAACTCATAGAGCCAAAAAGCAAATGTGAAGAAAAGCTAGAAGAATAAACAACAACAGCAAAACAAATTTTACAGCCTTCTCAGAAAACATTAATAGGTAGTTATAAAAACAAAGAAACGGTTATCTCAAACCTTCCTGTTTTATTAACTGCCTTGAATGTTAATAATATTCTTTCATTTCTTACAAGAAAGCATAGTTGGAACCAATTAACCAAGCCTCAACTAATATTACTATAAAAATAATTTTTTTATAAAAGATTAAATACATGCTTCCCCAATAAGATTAGAAACAAGGATGTCTGTTCCCACCATTTTTACTCAACTCTGTACTGTAGGTCTCAGCCAATAAAGAAAAAGCAATAAAAGGCATTCAGATCAGAAAGAAAAACTGTCTTTGTTAGCAGATGACATAATCATTTATGTAGAAAATCCTATGAGATCTACAAAAAGGCTACTAGAACTAACAACTGAGTATAATACAACTGCAGGATTTAATGCCAACACATGAAAAAAAATCAGCTTTTTAAATACTACCACTAAATCAGAAACTAAATTACAAATATGTTTTATAATGGCATCAAACTACAAGATATTTACAGATAAATTTGTTTGAAAAATGTACAAGACAAATATACTACTAATAAAATAATGCTGAGAGAAATAAAGATCAAAATAAATGGAGAGAGATGTGGCCTTCATGAATTGGAATATTCAATATTAAGATTTCAATTCTCTGCAAAGTGATCTATAGATTCAACACAATCCCATCCAAAATCCCAACATACATTTTTATAGAAACAGACAAGATAATTATAAAAATTCATGTGGTAACAGAAAGAACTTAGATTAGTCAAAACAACTTAGAAAAGTAACCAAGTTGGAGGATTATGTATTACTTGACTTCATAATTTATTAAAAGCAAGAATAATCAATATTGTGTGGTACTAGTGGAAAGACAGACACACAGGCCAATGAAACAGAAGAGTTCAGAAATAGATTCACACATATGTAATCAACCACTTTTAAAAAAAGAATCTTGTTCTTTTCTTTTGAAAATATTCTTTTCAAAAATAGTTTTGGAACAACTGGATATATATGAAGGAGGACCAAGAAAATGCAAAATTAATTTATAAAAAGTTGTGTCTTTATTCTTACATGTTTAAGCTTCAGTCACCTTCTAAGTATTCTCTGTTTGATGCAAGACACCTGTCGAGACACTTTTCCCACTGCCCAAAACAGTTTTTGAATTTGTCAATTTTAATGCCTTTTAGTGCTTCTGCCATTTTTGTCTCACTTCTTCCACATAGGCAAAACATTTCCTTCTGAGGACTTTTTTTCATCAGGGGAAACCAAAAAAGGTAGGTCAGAGTGAGACTGGGTGACTAGGGAGGATAGGTTTGTTGGGGTCCCCCCATACATGGTGTTTAAACAACAACAAAAAAAGGAACATCAATCCATACCTTGAAACTTTATAAAAAACTGACTCAAGTGCATAATAAACCCAAACATAAAACCTACAACTATAACTTCTAGAAGAACACAAAAGAGAAAAATCCTTGTGACTTAGGGTTAGGCAAATATTTCTTAGATTCAACACCAAAGAAAAACTAATAAACTGAGCTTCATCAATGTTAAGAGCTTCTGCTCTTTGAGGACACTGTTAAGAGAACGAACAAACTATAGCTGGGAGAAAACATCTGCAAATCACATATTGGATTAAAGGACTTATACCCAGAAGATATTTTAAAATGGTCAAAACTCAATAAGAAAACAAAAAGCCCGATTTAAAAACTGCAAGATTTGAACACATCCATTGCTGGAGAAGAGATTCAGAAGGCAAATAAATGCATGACAAGACAGTCATCACAGATATGTAAATTAGAATCACAAGGAAATATCTCTATATACCTGTGATCATGGTTAACCGGGCTCGGTGGCTCAGCCTGTAATCCAGCGCCTTTGGGAGGCTGAGGTGAGTGGATTGTCTGAGCCCGCGGGTTCGAGACCCGCCTGGGCAGGCGAGACCTCATCTCTAAAATAAAATTAAAAAATTAGCCGGGCATGGTAGCGCGCACCTGTAATTCTGGCTACTCGGAAGGCTGAGGCGGAAGGATTGCCGGAGCCCAGCAGGTCGAGGCTGCGGTGGCCGGGAGCGGTCACTGCACTGCACTCCAGTCTGGGTGACAGAGTGAGACTCCCAACTCAAAAAAAAAAAAAAAAAAGAAAGAAAGAAACACAATGACCACAGCAAATACTGATGAGGATACTGAGGAACTAGCTCCCTTACACCTGCTGTGAGAATGTAACATGTAACAACCACTTTGAAAAAGATTTTGGTAGTTTCTTAAAAAGTTAAACACATAACTATTACTGAGTCAGCCATTCCCCTCTTAGCTATTTACCTAAGAGAAAGAAAAGTGCATAACTGTACAAAGCTTGTCTTTGTTCACAGCAGTTTTATTTATAATAGCCCCAAACTAGAAAAAACCCAAATGTCCATTAGCAAATGAGAGAATGAAAAACCGTGCTAGAGCCATGTCATAGAATACTATTCAGCTATGAAAAAGAATAAACTAGTGATAAGTGAGACAACATGGATGAATCTTAAAATATGCTGAGTGAAAGAAGGCAAAGAAGACAAAGAATATATACTGTATGATTTCATTTGTACAAAGTTCTAGAAAACGCAAATTCATCTATAATGACACAAATCACATTAGTGGCTCCCTGGGGACTCGAAGGAAAAAAGAAAGCACAGGAGGAGGAAATTTCAAAGGGGCACAAGGAAACTTTTGGAATTGATGGATATGAATATTATCTTATTTGCGGCGATGGTTTCACAAGTTTAAGCGTGTCAAAATGTATCAAATTAGACAGTTTACTGAATGCCAATTATATTTCAATAAAGCTGTTAAATTGTTTCCAATGGCTAAAAGGGATGATCTGAAAGAGCAATCAGCATAGCTCTAAACGTACTCTTCTAAATTAATCATGAAATTGATTTGGTCAAAGTCAACCCTACCATATACAAGAATAATAAAGCAATCAATTCCTTTGAAAAGCTGAATGATTTCTTCAGCAGAAATATATACAAAAAGTAATGAAATTATTTCACATTCAGAATACTTTTGATACATTGATTATTAGCAAGTTTTTGGTGTGTTCTGGACAAGTAAACATCCAAAAAAAAGACACTAAGAATGAACAATCATACCTTGATTTGTGCAAAGGGTCTTTCATAACCTCCAACATAGAGAAGGCCAACATTCTGGGGAAGTAGCCTGCAAAGAAAAAAAAAAAAAAGCATTATTTATAAAGTACTCCTCCTTAAATAGAAAATTGCATAATTATCAAATTTTTATAATAGATATAATTTATAGATATATAATATTTGTTATATTGTAAAATATAACAGATATTGTAAAAACGAATATCTATATAATTATTCTTGTCTTTTACATTACAAGATAATAACCAGCAAAGGAATAATTTTATGTCTCAGAAAATAATTGGAGCCAGGTACAGTGGCATGCCCATAGTCCCAATTACTCTGGGGACTGAGGTGGGAGGATGGCTTAAGGCCAGGAGCTGGAAGATGCAGTGTGCCACGATGGTGCCTGCCATGATGCAGTGTGCCATGAAGAGCCACGCACACCAGCCTAGACAATATAAGAACCCATCTAAAAAAGAAATTAATAATAATAAAACTAATGAGTAAAATGTTGAGATGACAAGTTTAATACAGAACACTCTAACATAAGAGCAATTGTAACAAAATTATAGATGACCCTTGAACAACACTGATTTGAACTGCATGGGTCTACTTGTATGCAACATTTTTCAATAAAACTTATACGCCAAGTGTGCCTGCCTCTCCTGCCATCTCTGCCACCTCTTTCCATCTCTGCCATCCCTGAGAAGCAAGACCAACCCCTCCTCTTCCGCCTCCTCAGCCTGTTCAACGTGAAGACGAGGATGAAGACCTTTATGATAATTCACTTCACTTAATAAAAATGAAGTACATTTTCTCTTCCTTATGATTTTCTTAATAATATCTGCTTTTTTCCCAGTTTCCTTTAAGAATACAGTACATAATGCATATAACATACAAAATATGTGTTAATCGACTATTTATGTTATCAGTAGGCCTCCAGTCAACAGTAGGCTATTGGTATTGAAGTTTTTGGGGAGTCAAAAGTTATATAGGAATTTTCAACTATGCGGGTTCATGGTGCCCTTAACCCCTGTGTGTTCAAGGGTCAACTGTACTACATAGTGTCTCTAAAATAATTCAAATTAGCAATGCATATATCTAAAAATTGATAAGGATTCAGTTAGAAAAAACAGTCATTGCATGCTTATATTATACATCACAGGAGATAAACCAAATAATTCAGTACCAAAATCTACCAAAAAACCCAAAACAAATAATCTTAAAAAGGGTAACTTCTGATAAGAGATGTAACAGAGATATTCAACATTGGAAAGTAATGAAATAAGTAGTTACTATGGAGGTATCTGGAAAGTTAGAATAGATGGGATTCAGGCTTAGCCTTAAGGTGAGTTGAGTACTCACTCTGTAACACTAATGGAGGGAGAAATCTAAACAAAGTCCTGAGAATACGGAGGATTTGAGGCAAAGAGCAGACGAGTAAGGCTGGAGTTAAGGGATAATTTAGTTGGAGATGAAAACCCAAAGGAAGTTTAGAATGGATTATGTGGGATTTCAAAATGCCATACACTTTACTTTGAAAGCAATATGGAGTCATATTTTTAAAAGATGTACTTATTTCTCATAAAAACAATAAACATAGAAATAACAATTAAACCAAATAAAGGATGCAACATAAAAAACTAACGGTTACCACCCCTGCAACATCCTTTCCTTTCTATTCTCACAGTTCTAAGAGGGCCATCATTCTTGAATGCATAGAAACACTGAGAGGGAAGAAATACAATCATGCGAAGCGTGCTTGTGGGATGCGCAGAGAAGAACTGGCAATGGTGCCGGGTGTCTCAAGGACAGAATTAAATATTCTTGTGTTTCATCAAGTTAAATGCAGACATAGCTCATCTGTTTCCATAAATATTTTCACAATGGACATGGTGAATAAATGGATACAACTCCAGTCTTAACATGACTGTACATAAAGGAAAAAAATGCCTATATTCCTCACCCAAAGCCACTAGGTCAAGACACTTCTCAGAGTCTAGCTAGTCAAAGTTAACGGCCTTTTAAGGGAAGTAACAGAATTCTAATGATCTTTAGGATAGCTGCACATTCTTTTTTTTTTTATTGACTTGGAGTCTCACTCTGTCACCCAGACTGGAGTGCAGTACCATACTACTGGCAACCGCAGCCTCAACCTGCTGGGCTCTGGCGATCCTTCCGTCTCAGCTTTCCAAGTAGCTGGAACTACAGGTGCGCACTACCACATCCGGCTAATTTTTTATTTATTGTACAGACAAAGTCTTGCCAAGTTGCCGGGGTGGGTCTCAAACCTGTGGGCTCAGGCAATCCACTTACCTCAACTAGCTGTAAATTCTATAGCGTGAATCTGAGAGTGGAACACTGAATGGTAACCAAGTTTAAAAAATAAAAAAAAATCCTGCAAGCACAAACAATCAAATGAAAAATTCTCAGCATGCCACACTGGTTTTCATCAAAGGATTAGAATATTAGAATGCAAGATTATCATAATCATTTCTTTTAAATTGGTGGTGACTTCAAAACCCTACTCCGACAACTTCAGGATATACGTTTATTCGTAATTTAACTTCTCTGAAATTAGTATGTCTTTGATACTCAATGGTGTCTTAAAATTGTCATGAAGAGACAGTTGTGAGGTGGTTGTATGATTACTATCCATTGACATGGTCTAGTAAGAACACGAAAGCATACTTTCAAAGCAACTTAGATTCTAGAAAATTAGGCAGATATCCAGTCTCCTGGGAACACACACACATTCCCTGCATTCTGAAAGAGCTGCCAAAGTACTAAAGGTCACTAAAAGAATACTAATAGCTGATGAATGTATCTTGAATTAAATCAACTAAGCCAACAGCTTCTGATATTTGGAATGTAAGTGATGACTTACAGTAATGCATTGTAACATATTGTTAAAGGTTACAAGTATAACTAAAGACATTTGTTTACTGGATTCAAGTAAAAAGCATAGAAAATGTCCCCAAATCTTAACAGCGAAATGGAGAATTTCTTAGCCATTATTTGATAAGTTAATCTAACCAAATCTCTCTCAAATCATTGCCAGTATCACAAATTGAATGTTATACATAGTAGTGGTAATTTATTTCCTATATAACAAATGTTCACAGAAAGCTTGATTACCGCCCCCCCCCCTTTAGAAGTAAGAATAATCACTGTTCATACAAATAGATGCTAGAAAAGGAAGAGAATAAAGGCTGGTTGGCATTTTAGAATCAATAAGCCGCTAATTACTATGCATATGCATTTCAGGAAGCTTGCCAATACACAGTTGGTATACCCCCTCCCTCCAACTTGTCCATCTAATAATTACCTTTTCCCAAACAAGAAATCTCCTAAACATATCAATTAGATAGTGCATGTATATTTATTTCACTTTTAAAATACTGTTTTCTTTTACTTCTTAAAATTATACTTCCCTTCTTCATTTTTATCAGCCTACATCATGCACTGATAAAATATTGTTCTTGATAATTCATATACCTCTATCTTATTTATTATTCCCTACCATATATTATATCACTGCCTTCATTTGAGTGGGTTTTAATAGGTACCATAACTTAAAGGCCTTATATGCATAAGGTAATTAATACTTTGAGAACACGAATTCCTACTTTTAAGTGAAACATTTCTTTAAATGTTTTTACCTTTCAAAAAATTATTTTGCGAAACTGTATACAGAATTATTATCAAGTAATAGGTACCATTTCATCACCACAGGGTGTCTATGTACAATACAGCAATCACACATTTTAAATCCGCAGAGTTAGGCATTAATTCAGCACTGACAGGCACATTTATATGTAGATTCTAAGTAGAAACCATGACTCATTGAGTACCAGGTAATTGTTTTGCCCTTAAGTTAGGTGAACATTATCATAACTTTTATACAAAAGCTAGCAACCTCTAAGACACTTGCCTGTAACTAAATGCTTCTACAGTGTGACTACCAAAGAAAAGTAGCAATAAAGAGGCACTGCTGGAAAAAAAAAATCTATTACAGCTTTAGCAAAAGTAGACAGGCAAGGCTAATGTTCGTCTTTCTTTCAATTTCCCAAACACAAACATTAGCAAATATCTATCCCAAAAAGTCCCAAAATTGTTACCAGAAAAGTTTCTCATGTAAAATAAAACAAAAACCTGTCAGGTAATAAAATAAATATTATTTAAAAAGAACTTCAGATGGCTCATGCCTGCAATTCCAGCATTTTGGGAGATCGAGGTGAGAGAATTGCTTGAGCCCAGGAGTTCAAGAACAACCTAGGCAACAGTAAAAAATTAAAAAATTAGCCGGGCCTGGGGATGCATGCCTGTAGTCCCAGTTGTTCGGGGGGCAAAGGCAGAAGAATCACTTGAGTCCAGGAAGCTGAAAGATGCAACAAAAAAAACTAAGTTACTAACCCTGCAAAATCTCTTCCTTCCTATTCTCACAGTTCTAAGAGGGCCATCATTCTTGAATGCACTTCACTCTAGCATGGGTGACAAGGACCCAGACTCAAAAAATAATAATAAAGAAATAATTTCATTCACCATATATTGAAAATATGTCAGAAAGAGAAAAAACTGCTTTTAAACAAAGTTGAGTCTATAATTACTTCAAAGTAGAAGTCAAAAAATGGCAGGGGGTTCTCTCAAAAATAAGATAAATAATTCAAAATTACTGTTCTGTTACAAGTCATAACTACAGTACCCACTATCAAATATACTGCTAAACTGCAACAAAATACCTTGAAACAACTTCCAGTATCTTGAACACTTACATTAAATCCCACTTCTTAACCAGACAGCAAGTTATCGAAACATCAGAGTATATCCAATATACCTACTACTAGAAAACAAACAAACAGAAAGTAAATGTTCTGAATATGGGGTCAATAGCATCATATTGAATTTAAGAAAACACAAAAGGCCTACATTATTTTTTGAACCTTCTAGTAGGATACAAATTTAAAAACTATATTCCAGAAAGCAAATTTCTAACAAATACAATAATGTAGACAAGTCTCAGAATACAATAATTCAGCTAAAAACAATAACATAAAAACATCCAGAAAA